ATGGACAGGTTGAAAATGAACTCTTTCTGATTGGGTGAAACAAATATGAGGCCCCAAAAAGCAGACAGGGATGGGATAAAGTGAATTCTCACCTCATTCATTACCTCCATCACAGAAAGAAAGGGGGAAAAAGTGACCATAAAATAAGAAGCGGAGCTCTGGATTGCCTTTGAGAAATAATTACAGCCTCTTTGCACTGCTCCCCAGCCACCGGGAAAAAACCCCGTCTTCTCCATGCTCTGCAATTGATGTTTGGTTTACCAGCTCCTCTGTATAAAGCAGACCTTCAATAAACTATATCACCCTATTTGTGAGAGTAATACAGCCCACTGCAGTCCTCAATTAGGTGTAAATGACACAGCAAATTGGAAAATTAGGAGGAGAGGGAAGGATAATTTGCTCCAAAACGAGCTAAAACCAATTCATTAGGACACTCGCCGCAGACAAAGGGCCTGAGTTTCTGTCCTCCGACGCTAGACCTCACTTCAAGTTTCCCAAGCTGCCACTGTTCCTGTGACATGTACTATACAGTGCCCACATCCCATCATCCTCATCTTTATTAGACTGTGTAGCTACAGGTGGCGCTGCTGTGTGGGGTTAGATTCTAATTATAACGCAATATATTTTCCATTTAGGTAAATGTTAATTATAATATCGGAGGATAACATCTGCTAATTAAATCAAACCGGCTCACACTGTCTGTGTCCTTTCTCTTTGTAATGTAATCCCATTACTGCCTCTGCGACGGAGACGGAAATTAGTCCAGGCTTAGTGTAAAATGTCCTTTAAATATCGGAAACCGTCCTTGGAATTCACACAGTCGGGGTTTATTATTCCAGTGATGTATACTTGCGTCAGAAATGTCCCTCTGGGCCTCTGTAGAAAACACATCGACAGTGACAATGATCCTGGATGAATCTGAAGAGTTTGCCCATTCTTGATAGAAATGAACCTAAAAACGCTATTTAACAAAGTGTGAACTGTATTAGACACAGACACAGTGTTTGTTGATGGAGTAAATAGACAGTTGTTGAGTTCAGACATGTTTGCTGTTAGCATAAACCTCCACCATGCTGCAGCATCATTCGTTGCCGGGCTCTCGAACTCCTGACCTCCACATGAGTGCAGTCGGTGTTAGAGCACGTGTCCACCTGCCTGCCTATTTTCCCTGCAGAGAAAACCCTGAGGTAGCGCACGATGACTGTTTAGCTGCTGACTCTGTGGATTTCCTCCTCCCCCTCCTCCTCCCCCCGTCTCTTTTTCTCTCCTGCATAATCACTGTAAATTACATTAGCACTTGCGGGTTGTTGGTTGCAGTAATTTGAGTTTTTTACTTCACTCTGGCCCCAGAGTAGGACAGCGAGTGCTGATGGAAGCAGATTACAGGAGTGTAAGTGAATTCGACAAATTCATTTCACTCCTGCCTCAGGCCTGCTGTGTGCTTCTGTCTTACATTTCCCCCACACTTGGGCTCAGGTTCAGGCTCTTATTTGTTCGCTTCTCCCTCTCTCGCCTCCTGCTGCTCCTCATTGCAGACACTGCACACACCGACTGCTCTCTATCTGTGCGGCGGCAGCTTCTTCTCTCGACACGTGTGAGCGAAAAGTCACTCAAATCCTAAGTTGTGCAGTTGAAATGGGTTGAAAAGTGCGGCTGCACCTGCCAAGAGCTGCAGCAACATCACAGCTCAGCAGGTTCCACACAGATCACGGCTGGTTCCCCGCTGCAGCACAGTCGCTCCCTCGTTTCCTCTCCGTTCACCTTGTTCCCTTTGTAACAAGAAGTGACTGG